CGGGGGGCGTGGGCCGCTCTGGTGACAGGGTCTGCCCCTCATCCAGGGCCTGTCTTCCTCTATAGTCCCTCTCGGCGTCTCTGGGGCCGAGATGCAGGCTGCCTTTGAGCCTCTAAGAAGTGTTTAGGAACGTTTCTGCCGTCGCTGGGGGCTCGACGCAGGGCACTGAGGGGCTGCTGCTTTGCTCCTCAAACTTACCTGGGTTTTCTGGCCGCCCATCGTCCCCTTTTTCGCGTTGGCGCGTCAGTCGTGGTTGTTTCTAATTGTGTGAAATTGGCTTGGATGAAAATGTTACTATTCTTAGGAAATTCGGCAGGAAGTATGTAAATAACTTCAGAAGGTCGGTTCAGGTCGAAGTTTTATGTGTGGTGGAGCAGCCTAATACTACCTTGGAAAATTCCCCTTCGCATTAGAAACCCCGCTAGAAACACGGGCTCTGGCAGGCGGCTGTTCCTGAAGCCTGCGCTTCAGCCTTTGCCTGCGAAGCTGCAGCCCAGGGGAAGCCTTGGGAGCCAAGCGAAGAAGGCTGCGCTGGGGCTGGAGCGGCTTCGGGCGGTGACTGCATTGCAGGTTTTCTTGTTCGTGCTGCTGGCCGGGCTGGGTGGTCGCAGGCAGTAGGGGGGAAAACGGGCAGCTTTTATGAGGCAGTCTGCTGCTGCTTCCAACCGTGTAAAAGTTGTATGTGAGATGCTGCATTTTCCCTTCTTTGTTACTGCTTGTTGGCAGAGATAAATTTGTGTTTTCCTGTGAAAAGAGGAATTAATTGCAATAAATAGTATATATGCATTAGCTTTGGTGATTATGAGGGCGTGTCTTAAACACTCACAGAATATAAATCTGGAGTTGCACAGAAGGCCAAAATTTTATTTTTCTGTCACTTCCAGTAAGGAGTAAGCTCTCAAGTTATGCAAGTAAACTTATGCTTAAGCTTTATGTGGCCTGTCAATGTGGTAGTTGGAGACTTCTAAGATATGCTTTCCATTGTCTTCCCTAGTTGGCTAATGCTCAGAATGAAATGTAGAGCGACTGTAACATCTAATTTCTATATTTGTTTTTTTCATAGATATTGGTATTAACCTGACAGACCCTATGTTCAGAGGAATCTACAGGGGAACACAAAAACACCAAGGTAAATGTTTCCTTGTATCTGCTGAAAGACAAGATTGTCTTGTTAAAATAGAAACCTCGTACATGTCAGAATGTGAGGTTAGAGTTTCTTTTCTCTCCTCAAAAACTGGATTCTTATTATTTAATAGGGCTTGAAGAAGAAAGCATGACAAAATAAGTTAGATGTTCTAAGCAAAATACATTCTTTTAATTGCTATTAACCTGTCATACAGGTAACTCTGCTTCTAGAGCAAAATGGACAATTGCTGATCTATTTATGTTACGATTGCATGGAAAAACTGATCTGAGAATTACAAACAATAAACTATCAAAGTATTGAATTGCTGAATCATAGTTACTAATTTTAGCTGATGCTTTTTTGGCTGTCATGGCCTTTAGATATAGATGTAAAAACAGAGAGTCTCCGAAAGTATGTGGAAAAATTCCATTGACTTCTTGAATTTAAATTGGATCTTCAGTTACTGCATTTTGTTATTGTCGTCTAAAGATTAATCAAGTGTGGTTTAAAGGTTGTTCGCAATAGGCATTTTGACTGCATGAAAGTGATTTTTAGTTGAAAAGTAGTTAAATTATGCTGTAAAACCTTAAGTTCAATTTATGACATTTTTATGAATTTTCGCAGATGATTTTTTGGATGTGGTAGAGAGAGCAGTCAAAGTTGGCATTAAAAAGGTAATTTCTTAAAATAAAATTTCTTTAGTATTTTAAACTGCTTTCTAACACTTTGGTTTTTTAGTGTTCCCCTGTTAAAACAAATGTTTCTGGAACTTGCAATGGAAAATGCAGTAACTTTCTTCAATAGCATAAAGCAAAAGTGTTCTGTGCAGAGCATTGTCTTTCATTTGCACAGATCATTAGGTGCTGATTATTTAAGTTCAGTGGTATCATATGTGATGTGTATGTAGAATTTCTTTTGTACAGTTTCAACAGAATGATGTTCTTCTCTGCCCTACTGCAATCAACTAGTACATAATTTTCCATGTTAGTTGTATTATAGGCAGCCACTCCTTTCTTCTTGTATTCTGTGTGACTCGTACTGAAAAGTTACTGTTACAGATCAAAGCTCAAAAACTCTTCTGATTGAGATCCTTCAGGTATTTCTATATGTAAAGGAAATTGATCACTGCAGAAGAGCTCGAAGTGCCCATAAATTCTTGCAGTTGAGACATATGAATGTCTGCTAGTAAATACTGGCTTATATGTATTAAAACTGCATCATTATGAGCAGGTTTGTAAGTCTTAGCTCGAAATCAGTGTTTTCAGCAGTGGACCATACTCCTTTAGTTATAATAGTCCAGTCTGCCTCTATCTCTCTCTCTAAACTGAATAAATTGTCAAGACAAAAATACAAATTAAAATAGAATACAATGCACACGGTCACAAACTGTTCTACTGCACTAATAAGTCTGGTGGACTAGAAATAAAGAAATAAACCCTCCTCTAGAAGAGGAACAGACATCTTGAAGTTTGCTGAAAGGCTCTCATCTGAAAAGAGTGGAAATAAACTGGGAGACAAAAAAAGAAAACTCTAGTGGTGGAGAAGTTACCACACTGCAGCAAATACAGAATCATAGTCACTTTTACTGCATTTATATATGCTGTATAAGTACTATTTAATCTTTATACCACCCTCTGAAAGTAAGTGGCAATTTTCCTATTTTATCACCAAAAATAGATTGGCTGCATAACTCTTTCAAGATGCACAGTTGATTCAGAAATGGAATTCCAGAGTTCTCTGTCCTTAGCTATGTTTTCAGTCTTGCTGCTGGCCTGTAGGTGTCAGAAGTCTATTCCATCCCAGATTGGTTTTACTTGCTTAGAAGCTTAATCTGTTTGTTTGAAAATACTTCTGTTTTTCCATATAGCTGCTGATTTATGGTAATTTTTTGTGGAGTTTTGCCCTGTGCTGTATGTACACTGAGCCAATTTCAGTTTAACTTATTTTTCTGGTGATACTGTTGGGATGTGTCCATCTGTAATGGAGCTGCAGAATACTGCAGAAATGTCTGACCTGGTGCTGACCGAGTCTGGTGTATAGCATGTGGAGGGATAAGAGCTGTCCAAAAGCAGTGTAGTCATGATTTATTAGGACCTAGGGTGCAAGAACCTGCAAGTGGTGGTTCAAAAAACACTGTAAGCAACGATTCTGGTCTGATAACCTTTGATCTTAAGGTAAAAATAAAAGATCAGATCCAGAAATTCCTAAATTTGTAATCCCGACTCTGATAAAGACTCCTTTGTTGGTTTGTCTACTTACTTACTCATGTCTCATTTTGGGTGTTCGGGAGTTTTTAGTTTCTGCACCTGTAAGACAGGGAGAATGTTTCTGAATATCGTTTCTTGAATGCAAATAAAGTTTCTTGAGTCATTGGCTAATGAAGTTAATATTGCTGCAAATAGAAGTATTTTACTTAGTGGTTTAAATACTTAGCATAGAAGATACTTGATAAAGAAAAAAATCAGGTTTTGGTACCTAATGTATTTACTAGCTCCTGAGGTTTGTTACTGATTTATGAAATTTTGTCATATATACATTAGTAATTGTCTTCTGATGTTCTCTGTCTAGATACTTACTTAGTATCTGAGTGTTTTCTGAAACATTGTTTGATGTTCAAAGAATAGCATACTCTCTGACAGTACTTTTCATCTTCCAAGTTTTTGATTACAGGTGGGAGTCTAGAAGATAGTAAAGATGCATTGCAGCTGGCACAGACAAATGGTATTTTCACTTTAAACTTACGTTGTCGGTCAAAAATATAACCTGCTCCACTCTCAGAATTAAGAGTTCAAAAGGACTTGCCCCTGGAGTTGTTTACAGAATCTCAGATTAAAATGAGAAATTATGTTTCAGAATGGGATGAATGCATTGTGTATGGGTTCCTGTATGTTGCTCTTTAGATCCCTGGATGTTGGAAGGAATCAGTCTTTCCTGTAATTTCTATTTCTAGATAAAAATAGAAATTACAGGAAGTTTCTGGAATAAAAGTTTTGTTACAAGGCTGTCTTCTAGAAATAAGATGGAATGCTTATATGGTGTGAAATGTATGGGTTTTGGTGGGGTTTTGTTTGTTTTTCACTTACCAATCTATCATGACCAGCTTGAACAAGAGAAGTATCTTTCTCTTTATGGTTTTCCTAGCTTTCCCTTTCTTTCTGTGAAAAGGCAAATATCATTCCACTAATTACTTAAATATGTATTCGAACTAAAACACATGTTAAAGTACTATTTACAGAACAGAACTATAGAATAATTTAGGTTGGAATGAACCTGAAGAGGTAATCTGGTTCAACCCAATCCACCTCCCCATTTCCATCAAAGCAAGACTCGCTTTAATATTAGGTCAAGTTGCTTGCGGCCTTATATAGTCTTCCCTGCCCCGTCCCGTGCTTTGACATTCTCCATAAAGACACTTAGCAGAAATGTTAGTTTTGGCGCTAAGGTAATCTAGATTAGATACTTAGGTAAATCAGGCTAGTTGTTGCTTGCGAAATTCTGTAACGGCTAATGCAGAGGCACACGAGCGAAGTGGCATGCTGTCTGCAAATCTTACAGTTAAGGATAACCTGATGCATTTTCAACAAGATGTATTTCTAGATGATCTCAAGAGGTCTCTTCCAACAATGGTACGATTTGCTGACAGCCACTCCATCAGAATAATTCAGCTTTGAGTTGCCGTTTCGGAGTATACTAAATAATGTGTACTAAAAAGAAACACACACCCCCACCCCCACTAGATACTGTCTAACATTTTTAAAGCAGAAAATATCAGTGTAGTAAAATTATCACGAAGATAAAGTTGTTCAAAGGGAGTTTTCTTTTAAAATTATGAGCAATAAAAAAAAATCCAGATACAGATACTGTCTATACCTTATATAAATTTTCTTTTTTTTTTTTTTTCTTCTTAAAACCTACTACTATCTTGCTTTAGACATGTTTTACAGTACAGTTGGATGTCATCCTACTCGCTGTGGAGAATTTGAGCAGAGTAGCCCTGAACAGTATTTATCTGACTTGAAAAATCTGATTGAAGAAAACAAGACAAAGGTAATAGCAGTTGGAGAATGTGGCTTAGGTAAGTGTTATCTTAGTACTTCAATTTTTTTTTTTTCCTAGACATATTAAAAAAGCCTAAAACATTAAGTGGTTTTTTTGTTCTTTCTATTTGTAGATTTTGATAGATTAGAATTTTGCCCAAAGGACATCCAACTCAAGTAAGAAACTTTTGATGACTATAAATGGACTTGTAGCAATTTATAGGAGTGTTTTCTATCTTGTGTTCTACTAGGTAACATTTTGTTAGGTATAGACCTGCAATTTGCAGGGTTGGATCTGGTTTTTTTTGGCAGATGTGGGACTTTTAAGAAAGATGTCTACATCCAAGTAGTGCTATGTGCTAAATTTTGCTACCTGCCTGGTGTTGACTTAGCATGTCCTTTTCTGTAAAATTGATCAGAATTTGTGGGTTTCTGGGTGTGACAGATGTTCATTGTTGCTAATACTCAAGAACTCCTAGAGATTCATGGGGCGAATAACGTAACTGTAATGTGCGAAAGAAGAATCAGGTTGAGTGAAAGGCATGGGGAAGGGAACAGAACTGTCAAAAAGGATAAGTCAACAGTGGGAAAAAATGAGCTTTTAAGGGAGTTGTTAGCTGGGAGCAGATAATTGAGAGCTGATGAAAAAGGTGATTGTGGGAGCTGGAGAGATCTGTGTTTTGAAGTAATATATGCAGCATAGATATTGAATGGAAAGAAGCTAGCACAGCCCTTAGAACCAGCTTGCATTCTTGTAGTGAGAACTTCTCTCTACAGAGGGAGCTGACTGAAAGGTATGAGTGATAAATTCAGATAAGATGAGTGGTTAATGAACTGTGCTTGCACATTACTGTTCTGAGTAAAGTAGTCACTGGGGGGCAGTGGTTAGTTGTGTTTTTTCTAATTGCCACATGTTAGTAGTAGGTAGAGTTTTCTTCATAATGCTACAGTCATAGAATCATAGAATCATTAAGGTTGGAAAAGACCTCTAAGATCATCGAGTCCAACCGTCAACCCAACACTACCATGCCCACTAAACCATGTCCCTAAGCGCCTCATCTACACGTCTTTTAAATACTTCCAGGGATGGTGACTCAACCACTTCCCTGGGCAGCCTGTTCCAAGGCCTGACCACTCTTTCAGTGAAGAAATTTTTCCTAATGTCCAGTCTAAACCTCCCTTGGTGCAACTTGAGGCCATTTCCTCTTCCATTACAGTCATACAGTAAAATACTCAGCAAAGTGGACAGAACTTTTTTCCCTGGTAAAATTCAGTGTACAAAAAGTTCAGCAAAGCACACCTTGGAGCATAACCTGTTTCTTTTCTGTGGCAAACTAAACCACTGGTGGAGTACTACATTTTAAGATGCTTACTGCCTTGATGTTATTGAGAGAAAAAAAAAAATCTAATTTTCCTTATCTGATGAACTGCAGCTGAAGACCTGTGGTGAAAAACTTCTAATCAATTGCATTGAAATTGGGTTGTGAGGAAAGAGGTGACAGGGTGACAGAAATTGCTTTTAAAGTGGTAGGCGAGTCTTTTCTAATTAAGGTTGATAATGACAGAAAGTCTTTATCTGAGCTGTTTTCAGTAAATCATATGAAATACATAAATCTAGTTTCTAAGAGATCTATTGAGAGCCCTTGCTGAAAATTGCAGTTGGAAGGAGATGATTGATGAAAAAAACAGAATGCAAGAAATATGAGGGAGTGAGGAATCATAGAATAGTTTGGGTTGGAAGGGACCTTTACAGGTCATCCAGTCCAATGTCCCTGCCATAGGCAGGGACATCTTCAACTAGATCAGGTTGCTCAGAGCCCTGTCCAACCTGACCTTGAATGTTTCCAGGGATGGGGCATCTACCACCTCTCTGGGCAACCTGTTCCAGTGTTTCATCACCCTCATTGTAAAAAATTTCTTCCTTATATCTAGTTTAAATCCACCCTCTTTTAGTTTAAAACCATTCCCCCTTGTCCTGTCGCAACAGGCCCTGCTAAAAAGTCTGTCCCCATCTTTCTTATAAGTACCCTTTAAGTAGTGAAAGGCTGCAATAAGGTCTCCCCGGAGCCTTCTCTTCTCCAGGCTGAACAACCCCAACTCTCTCAGCCTTTCCTCATGGGAGGTGTTCCATCCCTCTGATCATTTTTGTGGCCCTCCTCTGCACCTGCTTCAACGGGTCTATGTCTTTCCTAAAGAAATATTGAAGGCCTCAAGGACAGATGCCTGCAAACACTGGTTTGTAAATTCTGTATTTTCTAAATGGACAGCTTTCCCTGCTCTTCATCCTCCATGTGTTTGTGAAACATGGTCAGGGTTTGGGGTTGTTTTCATCTATGCTAACTGAATGCTATGCAGTTGGATACAGTCTGGCTTTCATGACCTTTAGCAGGCCGGATGGTGAATTCTTTGAATTAATATTCAATGTATGCTTGATAAATGAACTAAAAAAAAAAAAAAAAAAGGAAGGCAAAGTGTGAAATGCATGGAGGCAGGTCACCGGTTTTGAGCTGATCTGTTGTTCAGGTGTTGTAGCAGTTACTGGAATAGCCAGCAAGCAGCTGCAGAGTTACCCTGTAGAAGAGAAGTGTGATAGTTTCCCAATAGGTAGTATCTGAGCATGACCTCTGTTTTGTTTAATGTTTAGTCATTATTTTCTAGTTAGTTATGCTGTGTTTTCTTCTGGATAATTTTCACCTGTTAAAAATGATCACTTTTTTTAATCCTTTGTCTTGGATTGAAAAGCTAATAAAGATGAAATTCCTTTGCTGAAGCAGCCCAAAGAACTTTTTTGTCAGAATTTTTCTCCATTCTCATAACTTTTCCAGCAGAAAATGGTGATTTGAATGGTAGTTAGATGAAGGTACTGCCTTCATATTATGGTGAAGGTCACATTATAAATGGACTGATAAGTATATAGAAGTTTCACTTCTGCTGTGTTACTGGGAGGGGTTTGTGGGGCTTAGCAACACAGAAACAGGAGTTTTCTTAAGCAAATTGGAGGGGATGAACAAAATCACATGCGCTATTATTTGTACATGAATCCAGAACTGTTTGTCTGGGGATATTCTACCTCAGCAAGGTCAATTTGCTTCAGTTCCCGTAGTGTCTTGATCCCAAACCTGAAAATATCACAGTATTTGAACTTTATGGTCAAAACTAAACCTGCAAACAACCACGCAGAAATATTTTCAAAGTTCTTATTGAGAAGCAACATAGAACCGGTATATATTGAATGACAGTCTACTCACCCAAAGAAAAAGGTTGTTCCTTCAGCACTGGAACTAGTAAGGTTTAGTTTTCTACTGACTTATTTTGTTACCATTCTGATCACTGTATGTCTAGTTTCTTCATGCTTTTCCAGGGTTTCTCTTTCCTTTTTTTTTTCCTTCTTTTATTTTTTCTCTCCAAGAACTTCCCCATTCACCTGCCCTTTCTCTTTGACAGGGCAAGTAGCAATATGTGTTGGGCTATTGTTGCTAGGAATGGAAGAAGCTTGAGTTGCCTTTGCATTTGTAGGGGCGCTAAACTTTGTACTTTCAAGACTACTGCCCTTCTCAAAATCAGATTGAAATTGGCAGTAGGTTACTTAGGGGGCTTATTTGCAGCTCTGTCTCTAAAACCTCATTTCCTTATGAAACAAGTCTTCTGTTTAAAAAAAAACCCACCAATAATCAAGCAATTGTAGCTATTTAACCGCAAGAGCGATCACGAGTTGCAATTAAATTTATATTTAGTCAAACAAGCTAAACTAAGCAGTGTCTAGACTACAAAGAAGATTCAAAGCAGGTATGATTTATTCTCCTGAATTTTCATGTCAGTTTTTAACGTTACAGCCCATTTCTGTTCCACCTGTTTTATCTCAAAGATCTGCACAGGTAAACAGGGAACGTAACTTTTATCAGAGAAATATCAACATGTAATATACAGAAAATAGTGAAAATTGCACAAAACGAAATGACCAGTTGCATTGTCTCTTTTTTAGGAAAATGTAAATCAAACTAATGGTTTGCTGCCACTTTCTCCTGATTGGTATGTGAATCATACACAGCAGTATGTGGACACTTGAGTTTGCCTTTGAAATGTTTCTGATACCTGATGATGGGAATGCCCCAGTACCCTGGACTGGTTTTAACAGCAACACCTAAAGAAATGCAATATGTACATACAGTCCCAGCCTGTTGGGACGGGCAATGTTGTTCTTCTTGCCTTGTCCAAATAATGTCATCCTACAAATTATGTACGGATACTGAGTCACCTATGCACTGTTGGCCCTCTGCCATGCACAAGTTGTTCTACTGTGTTTCCTGAGCATTGGTAATTTGCATGCCTGGGTGTAGCGTGGCAGACAGAAATGGTAAATGATAATGCTCTGGGATCAGAACTAGCTGCAAATGACAAGTGACAGGTTAGTTCAGTGCTAATTAGTTTCCTTTGGAAACTGCACTGGGGAAACTGGCTACCTAGTTACCTTCCCTCTGCCCATATTTTGATGTCTCTTCATAGGATGGCTGCCTTGCTGTTACTGCTCCTTCAAAGGGGATACTAGGAGTAGAAGGTAGGAGAGGGATAAAAAGGAGTGAAAAGGAAAGGATACAGGTACACAAAGGAGAGGAGGGAAAACAGTGGAAGACTTTGAAAGAGTGAAGACAATAGGCAGAATGGGGCAGAAGTAAGATGCGTAGTACTGGTACTTGTTCCACCCCAAGAGGGGAAAGACTGACCTTCATGGAAGAGCAGACAAAAAGTCTGGGTTGTTACTTTACAGGCCAGCCAGCTCTGATGCGGTTTTGGCCATTTGAGGCTGTAGCAGTCTGCATAGTGCTCCCTCACTCGCCCTCACCGCATTTACAAGTGCTTCTTGAAATAGTGGTCTCTGTGTGATCCACGCTCTCTCTTCCTGACATTTCAAAACTTTGTGGAGAGAACAGTCAGTTCCTCTTTCATTAAAAATAAATAAATAAAACCGAACTCTAACACCCACACTACACAAGAGTACATGCTTAGCATATATATATGTGTGTGCATTCTTCAGTATTGATGCTCTTGGCCACTTCTTACCTGTCTTCCAGCATAGATCACTACTATATGAACATACCGTGGGCAAGAGTTCCTTTTAAATCCTTGCACAAATAAGAGCTTTTGCATGGCAAATCCATTAATTCTGTCTTTAGTTCTGGAGGACTAAAATGTACAAGCGCTGGAAGAAACTCTTCTACTGTCTTTATTTGCTCTTACACTGAGTTGCTGTTTCAAAGTGATTTTTATTTTACAGGTATTTTGAAAAACAATTTGACCTGTCAGAACAGACACAACTGCCCATGTTTCTCCACTGTAGAAACTCACACGCTGAGTTTTTAGGTGGGTTTTGTTTGAGAATTTCATACTCAGAGCAAATTCTGAATATGAAAAATCTGGAAACCTGAAGCTTTCACCTTTGTGTGTAATAAAGCTGTCTTACATTTTTATTTGTTTCATTTCATAGACATAATGAGAAGAAACCGAGATAGATTTGTAGGAGGGGTGGTAAGTATGGACTTCAGCATAGCATTCGTTTTTACATGCATGTGTGTGAATATTGTTGCTTAATATGCAACTTATTGTTTGTTATGGAATCTGGGTAGGCTTCCTGTTACGTGATTTAAGTTATTATTAATTAATAAGTGTTTTCCAGTCCCTTCTAGTATTTTTGTTTTCGTTGCTTTTTCAACAGTGTTTTTGCAAGGTAAGAAGATAGGCTGAGAAAAAGCTCTGCAGCTGACATGAGCCGTTTTTCTTGGCCTGTCAGAAGGACAGTTTAAGCACCTTATAATTGACATTGGCTTTTTCCCAATTCTTCAGTGTCTGTAACTGCAGTGCATTCAGACCACAGATAATTTAGATGCATGTTCCCAGTGGAAGCCGTAACCTCAAACCTCAGACATTTGCTTCTGACGTTAGACATCGTTTCAAATTAGATCCAGATGTGATTTTTGATTGCTTTATGTCTTTAGATATTCAGATCATGTATTTTAATTGAAAAGCATAACAGGAAAACTTTTGGATGAAATTATTAAGACAAAGTCCAGCAGCACTCTTTCAGGTTTCCATTATGGCAGGATTTTCCAAATGCTTGGATTATTCTATCCTACTAACATCAGACCACACCTCCTACAATAATATCTCAGTCCCCAGGTTTCCTCTTTGTTACTGCAGAAACCTTCCCCCAGCTCAGTACTTTGCATGTTGTGCTCTTATGTAATACTGTACAGTCTCTCCTTCCTTCCTTTCTCTTTTCTGCAAAACCGGTAACTAGTAGGGAAATGACGAGCAGGCACCCTCTGCAACTGACTGTCCCCCTCGCAGCATGGGGAAGCAGACAGTGTCTTTACTCCATTCGGGTTGAGAAGCTGTGGTTCCCAGATGCATTACGCTGGGAATGTGTGACCTACCACTTGCCTCTTCAGTCCCTGGGATGACCAAATAGGCTGTCTTTCTAGCTTCCGTGGACTAAAATCTGCGGAGAACATAACACTACTCTTACTATGTCCCGGACAGTGCCCTGTAGGGAATACTGAGGAAAGACTGTAAAAATCCAGTGTGCACAGGATTACTTCCTGTGTGTGGTCTCCCAGCTATCAGCTACAGAAGTTCCTGGGCCAAAAGTAGTATCACTGGGTAGGCCTTCTCTACACATATTTATCACTCATAAAATATGGTAACCACTTTTATTGCAGTGTTCAAGTGACTTCAGCCTGAACTTTGCCCAAACTCAGAACCAACTGAGCTGTGTCCCATCTTTATGTTTGTATTGATGTGTAATGCATACTATCAAAGTTATTTATGATGCAAATAAAAACTAATAAGTACTTTTAAATTATCTGAATTTTAAATGAAGTACGTATATTTGTATATATGTGTGCATCTATATTTATATATATTCTAGGTACATTCTTTTGATGGCACAAAGGAAGCAGCAGCGGCTATATTAGATTTGGATCTTTATATTGGAATAAATGGCTGGTAAGTTCTTTACAAGAAATAAAACTATTTTAAAATGTCAGCTGTAGTGAACTCATTGCTTTCTTTTAAACGATGAGGTCAAGTTTTCTAAGCTCACTAGACTCTTAATCATCTGACAGGTTTAGAATTGCACTCATTAGTCTATTAGCGATAAAAAGTTCTTAACTCACAGCTCAGCGAGTTAATCTAGTCTTAGGTCCATTCTACTACGCTCAGGTCAATCCTTGTTTGTAAATAAATAATGTTGTTGAATGTGGAAACGGTCCTTCTGAGAAGTGTTTAAAAAATAGCGTAATTTTAAGCTGCCATGTCAAATCCAGGATGCAAATGTAACCTGAGCAGCCTTGTCTACTGGTTGTGCAGCCCGAATTCTCAGAAGTCATCTGGCCAAAAGCCAGCCAGCACCACTTTATAAGCTGCACCTCGTATGGGCAGTGCAGGCAGGGGTTCTGCATGCTTACTAGGGTGAGATGGCTTCACTGTGTAACTCTCCAAATTTGCCATTTTCTGCAAAGTTTGAATTTACAGGCAGCACTTTTAAAAATGAAGCAAATTTTATTCACTAACAAAATTACTCGGGAAGCTGCCTTTGCTGCAAAACATTTCAACAGGCAAAATAGTTACTTTTATAAACTTTTTCTTTTTTTTTAACCAAACTCTGATTTTCTAGTTCATTGAAAACAGAAGCCAACTTGGAAACACTGAAATCAATTCCTAGTGAACGATTAATGATAGAGACTGGTAAGATTTTGTATCTTGGTCAGTTTGTGACTTAAACACTGTGAGGCAACGAGATATGCTTGTATAGCAATGATAAGACAGAATCAAGACCTAAGGAGTTCAGAGTAGAAGAAGGACTGGCTGTTTCTCCACTTTGGAAAGCAATTTACAGGCCCCAGAAACACTCCTTTTAAGCCTTCTGCTGGAAGGAATAAGCTGCCGTGTCAGTTCCTGACATTGCAGGGGATGATGAAAAGGACAAATTGACAAGCCCAGATTTTTAAATGTACCTAGGTATCAGAATCCTGCTTGAATATCTTTTAAAATCTAGCTTGCTGGAGATGTGCCAGACACAGGGCAGTGGCTATGATCTTGCCACTGGTAGCAGTAGTGGTATTTGGAAACAACAGCTCTTTAAATGAAATAAGGCGGAAGAACGCTTGAATCCCCTCTTGGCCTAATGAGCAGTGATTTTAATTGAATTTTTTTTTTTTTGCATGTTCATTTCAATTATCAATAACCGGCAGTTATAAGTACAGTATTTTATTTTAATTTCTGAATCTGAGAAAGGAAAACCACAGACTGTGTAGATGCTTAAATTTATTTGCACATGAAGTACAGACCTGTTAAAGTATACAGGAAGTGTCTGTGGAATACATGCAGTATATCTAGCTGTCTTTATTGTGTTGGAGGAAGTAAGTGTTATGTACTATTATTGCTGATTTTTTAAAATGTAAACTCTTGAAGGTAACAGTATAAAAATCCAAAGATTGTGAAGATGTTAAATTGCCCAGATCTCTTAAACTGGAAGGCACTGCTAGAAAGATTGCAAGAACTTTTGTCTGTGGAAGTATTTGATTAAACTATCTCATGCTATTCTCAAACGATTGCATACTCTTAATTCTTCTTTTTCAAATGAAACTAGATGCGCCTTGGTGTGGAGTGAAAAATACTCATGCTGGATCAAAATACATTAAAACTACATTTCCTACAAAAAAGAAATGGGAAATAGGGCACTGCTTGAAGGACAGAAATGAACCCTGCCATATAATGTAAGTGTACTACTATAGTATTATTTTAAATCTTTTAAATCTCACAGGAAAAAAAAAAAAAAAGAAAAAAATCAGTTCACTGGAAATGTAGTATATAGAAATGAATTCTAAATTTATTGAAACTTGTGCAAGGTGTTGTTTTATAGGCTGTGGAAAAATTTAAGACGTCTTAATTTTCCCATTTCAGCAACTCTGGATGTAAAAAGCTCCCTGAAAGTGAAACCAGTACTTTTTTTATCTTTTCATTTGATACATTGTAAAGTAACCTGACTTGAACAAATTTCACTCCATTGTTGTTCCAGTTATTGTTAAAACTGATGCAGCACTGGAGCTGTGCAGCCCTCCGGAGAGTGGGCAGTACTAAGACACCGGGTAGGGCCTGTGCCTGCATTCATATCACAGCGCCTGTGACGTGAACTGCCATAACATGAGTTTGGTTAGGGTCATTTCTCCATTAAGTTTCGTAGATCCTAGGAAGTTTAGATACGAACAGGAGTCAACATAGAGAATAGCGCAGAAAAATTCCAGGGGCTTATGGACAAAGTTAGAAAGTACAGAAACAGTTTTCTGCCACCTTTTCATGCGCTTCCTCGCAGAGGTGTGAAAAGCAGGGAAACGTATCATTGTTTTAGTGAAAATGTTTAGTTATCTCCATTAAATATCACTGAACTTTCACAACTGTTACTGAAGTCTGGTCAGTGAGTTAGGCCAGTCTTCTCAGTCATCTCGTTATCAACTCCCTGAAAAGAAAAAGGAATTCAGGAAGGTTCCTTCTTGTGCTGTAGTATGTGAATGAATTTTCAGCAAATACAGCTCACAGCTGTACCTATCCAGGTGCAAAGCCCATTTACTCAATCAGAAGTGGAATTTTTTTTGCTGTGAAGTCTATATGTATTTCTATGAAAAGCTGCGTAAATGACCTCATTGGAACTAGCTTTTGAAATACTGCTCAGGATAGTACTAAAGAATTTAGGTATTCAGCAAGGTGTCTAAACAAGAGTTTATTTGAGAACTGAAAGGAATTCTGCTGCCTTTTGGGAGACCTGAAGAAGCTCTTAGAATCACTGATCATGCTAAAAGCACAGTTTAAGCTTACCTGGTGACATCTCCTAGTGTTCAGCTATATTTTATGCAGTTATGTTGATTTGTAATACTCTTTGAAATTGATTTTATTTAAAGACGAAGCACACACATTAGCACGGAAGGGCTTTTTTCAGTATTTTAGGACTTTCTCGGCATCAGTCCATGATTTTGGAGTAGGGGAAGAGATCAAGTGAAAACAGTTCTCTGATCACAAGCGGAGGACCTCTACTGTTGCTGACTAAGGCTATTTTGGCAAGCCTGTATGTTGTTAACACCACCCTCGTGTCTTTGCTGCCTTAGTCATAGCTTACAGAAAAAGTGTTTCAGAAACCCCAGAACTGGAAACGCAGGGAGTCTGTGCTAGAGCAGTACACAAATGCTATACTTTGGCTTTTGCTTTCTTTTATAATACAAAATCTTGTTTAGTTCAACCTTATTTCAAAATCACTGTCCCTTTAACATTAATTATAACCTGTACTAATTGTAGAGTAGTAACCTAAGAACCTCTTAAACTTTATGAAAAATTAAGTATGGCAACTAAGAATTGATATTTTGTAACTTCTCAAGTAGCAAGATCTGGTGTGAGGGGAAAGATAGCCTCAGGACACAAAGTATATTTAATGTTCAGGGTATATATACTGTTTAATATAGCTCAATTGGCAGGAGGAATTTTCCACTTGTCTTTTTTGGTGGTGCTGGACACCTTTCAATTTTGGTGGTGATATTTCCACTTTATATGTGAACAGCACTACTCCCCTTGGAAGCTATTTTTTTTTCATTTTAGCCACAAGAGGCTTTTTTTCTCTTTCAGCGATTTCATAAACAGTATTATAGTAATATGTAGCATCCTACTGCATCCAAGTGGGGATAACTATGTAAGCCCTAACAAGACTCTTCAAGGGTGAAATTCTTTGGTATTTGTTACTTATTTCTCTGTAGGCCTGATCTCGCCCCATCTCATCTTGAATATCCCCTTAAATGAAGAAGCTGTTTGGCTGCAAAGCACAGGAGTGGTCATGAAATGACCCGCATCTAGGAAAATATTTGCATTCCAGTAATCATTAAGAGCAACTTTTTCTACTCTGTCTTCCTCAAAAAGAAGTTTAGCTATTGCATAAGTTAAGAGGCAAGATCCAAAAACCAAAACCACCAAACCCTACCATCAAGCTTGAGGTCCTTACTCTTCACCATGAAGTTGGTTTTTTTTCCTACTACTAGAAAAAATAAAAGTATGAAGCATCTTAGGAAGTGGATAGAATATTCTTTTTTTTTCAGAATGATTGGTACAAAATCAAGAAAATAAGTACAGAAAAAAAGATTGTGGCTTGGTTTTCTGTTATTTAGTGTTAATATTATCCATCACATTTATTTTGCCTCCTTTTTCTGGCTTGTATCAAGGCTATGGGCCTCTTAAAATTGCTCATTTAATGTTCACTGCAAGTATCTGAATGCATTAATCACAATTTAGAGAACAGGGAAGCAGGAGTAAGTTACTTTGGCAGCTATACACTCTCAGATAAGGCTGTATCTGGAATTTAAGCTTTGCCATAGACCAGTTTATTCATAGTGCAGCTTTAGCCTTGAAAGGCTAACGAATTTCAGTCTGAAAAATGAAGACCATTGATAAAGACACCGACAAAATGACACTTTCTTTGAAACAGAAAGCTGTTTAATTACTTCCAAACAAGAGTCAAAAGACCGAAGATGAATCTGTACCAGTGAGCAGCCAGTGTTCAGTCTGAAGGGAGTGGCAGTTAGTGACTTAAAACTGAAGCTATTTGCAATCTGAGCACCTTGCCCTGCTGCTCTCAGCATAGATTTTTATTCCAGGTTAATCTTAGTGACTTGTACATACACATACAGCAGTCTGAAGTATATTCAGTACTGAGTTTCAGAGTCTCCTAATATGAATCTTTCTTTTTTAGTCAAATACTGGAAATAATGGCGGCAGTAAGAGAAGATGATCCACTTGAGTTGGCCAATACTCTATATAACAACACTATTAAAGTCTTCTTTCCAAATATATAAAGTTGTTTTTCTTACATTTATTCAGCATAACTTTAGTATATATATATTGCAAGAACTTAAAAATTACCATATCTGCAAGTCCTTATCAATGGAAGCCAATATGTAGTGCTTTTTTTTTATGGTACAAGATTAAAGCTGCTTTTGAAAAGGTGGTCTGCATTTGTGCAGTTTCTGAGCCCTGTTTCCCCTTCATCAAGATTCAGGATCAATTTCAAGGATAGCCCAAGCTAGCAACTCTTGTTAATACCTGTATGCATTACAAGTGAATACCAGGCTGCTGAGTTCAGGTATAGAGCACTTCAAGCTACTACTGGTAATTCAGAAGTGTTTAACACATCAATGGCATGCTTTACTACTTCACCAGAAAGCTTAGCAGTTTCATCTTTTGTTCTACATACGCAAATGCTATAACATTAAGTCTACCAACCTAATTTTTTTTTTTTTTTTAAAAACACAACTCACTAGTTTTTAGCAATAAAGCTCAGTTAATACTGAATTTGTAAGTAAAGCTGCTTTGGTTCAGGCTTTTCATTTCTGATTTGACTTGCTGAACAGTCTGTTTTCATCAGTATTTTTCATTTGCATCCAGACCTCATTGATTGGGCATTACTGGTATACAGTCTTTGGCACAGCGTTATCACTACATCAATTAAAGAGTGTTTTTCCAACCATCTTAAAAACGTGTGAAAACATTTTATTCCATGTACAATAATGTACATAATTTTAAGGTGGTCATGAAAGAGACCAGCAAAAATTAGAGGTATATTTACAGTAGCACACACCACAGTAAACAACCACCATTCACAGACTCAACATTGAGATACTGTTGTTGTGCTTAAGTACAATAACTACAAAGTGATACTTTTATTCTGTTGAAGTCAATCTTAAACAAATACCTCATGGCTTAGTAAAGGACATCTTAATCACCAAGGGCATTAGAGTCAACATTAAGAGTCTCATTCAAGTGCTGTGCCACACAGTCATCATCTTCCTCATCACTATCAGAACTGTCATTATCTTCATTTAATTCATTTTCAGCATCAGCAGCTTCTTCTGCAACTTGTACAGGATTTTCATTTGGTGCCACAAACCCGTTGTTGTTAGAGATATTGGCGTTTTCCTTGTCCTCAATATATACTTTCTGATGGCACATCGGGCAAGTGTCCTGAATGTACAGCCACTTCCGAAGACAAAGTGCATGAAAGTAATGGTTGCATGGAGTAATGCGAGCAGAGGTGGTGAACTCATGGTAGCAGATTGCACATACATCATCTATTTCATGTAATCGACTTCCTTTTACCTCTGGAAGCGAGTTTATTTTCTTAACAGCAGTCCGGCGGTTTATAAAAGTCTTCCAGCCATTCTTTGCTTGCAAGTAGATGTTGAAGTACGCGTGTAGACACATCATGCAAGCGCGAATCTTGCTTCCCGATTCAAAAACCATTGTGTAAGCTCCGTTTCCAAACATGATTACTCCAAATATAAACTCAATAATATTGCCAGTTGAACGAACGTAATAGACATAATCATCAAGTTTTTCCCATAGCACATTATAGTAGCCATCAATCATAAACAATATATAAACAGTGATAGAAACTATTACTTTTAGGCAAAGCTCTACACAGAATGCTGTAACTGCAAAAAGCCACGTATTTAGTGCATAGTGGTGCCAGAGGATGTAACTGAGCAGAACCGGAAGGATGAAAAGGCAAGCGGAAACAAACAGTACAGGGAAGTGTCTGCGAAACGATGACACATGGGAGGCACTGAGAGACATCAGCACGGGGTCTGTCATTCCATGGATAAAATGCAAGACTGCGGTTAACAAAAGGCACATGTTTCGACTCAGGCGAACTAATCGTTCTTCTGGTTTCAGTCCACTTAAACCAGTCTGCAGAGCCAATATGAAAAACAAGACGGGCGCTACAAAACCAAGCCTTTTGTCATCCTCATCAGTTGATCCGATGAAGGCCAAGATGCCAAGGCCCAAATAATGCGCTATTGAGGAAATGACGGCACTCATGCCTAACACAGTTAAAGTAGAGTCACACCCACTTATGATCAGACTGCAAATCAGTTCCCAACAGTTATCCCATGATATCAAGAAGAATTTTTCTTCTGTATTTGTTTCAGCCATCTTTACAACGTATGTTAATACCACAGCTTGTGCTGTAAGTCTCGTTAGCCAGAAGACACGCAGTACAGCTGGAAACCGAATCCTTTTCCATGTATCTTCCATCAATAGCTGTAATCCATAAATGCGATACATGTGCCTCACCAGCAGATAAACGTATCGCACCGAATAATAGAACCATTTAATTTTCATAACTAAAATGGCCGTGGTATTTAGTGTCAGAATTAGGCCTGAAATAAAAACTAGTATTTGCCGGACATTTAAAGGTAATTCAACAACCAAGCCAATTACAGGAATAAGTATATCCAGGATGATGAGTTGAGAGTATATGGACTGCACATTTAGCAATGTAACATACCCAATTCCAAAGGTAAGCTGAAGGATGGAAAGTGCCATCCACAGAGAAGGTCCTTTATGAGGGAAGATCTGAATTCCGAACGCAGCTGTGTAGTAGGCACTGTAGAAGTTTATGTGCAAAGAAGCATAGTAATTAACCAACACTGAAGTTGCAGCCAGTAGAAACGCCGAGGCGATCATATAAAACTTGAAAAGTGCTCGCTGTTGTAAGACCAGAACAACACTGGATACAAAAACACCTAAAAACAGATTGAAATCATTTAGTTCTCAGCAGAAATTCAACAACAGATTTTAACCTATTAGCTTTGGAGCTACATTTATTTAATGTATCACTTCCCAATTGGTCACTCGTAACTTTACATTACCAATGGTGCCCTCTTCAGAGAACAGACAAGAGGATGACTTAATCTCTGCATTTAATACATCTGTGCACTGCAGCTCTGACACAAAGCCAATGCAAGCATAAGTCACAATCGCTGTTAAGTTCATCTGCAGTTTCAGACTAGAGCAGTGACAACTCCCAGCCTTTCAGCCTTAGCCATGAAATCTTAAGGGTAGACAAGTTCTAAAGGCAGAAAAGAATTACCAGATACAGCATCACCTTTATAGGCAAAGTTAGTAAATTTTACTCATTTATTCTGTATTAAATCCCATAATTCACTTGAGCAAAGCACTCAACTACAGGTGTCCAAGCTGGAGTACTAAAGATAACAGTCACCAAAACAGTTTAGCTAAAGCCTTTAATGGGAAAATACGGAGAAATTGCTGTTGTTTACTGGGGGGAAGGCGCTCTTCTTCCAAGTCCCTTCAATTTGCTTTCATTTCTGATAAAGCATTGTGAAACGAAAGTCTCATGGAGAAGACCTTCTGCAATATAAAGCTTTTGTACACAGAATCCAAAACTGCACCAATCGCCTCTTTGCCAATGCCAGTGCAAACTTGCGTCTTACTTGCTGGCAGTCAGATTTAGATCTTGAAATTCCTGTTTGCTAACCTTTCCCTCATACTGACCATGAGCACATCTTGACCATGACTGGAAAGTCTGCACCTTCCTATGACAAGTCCTGTCGTAGCATCTATAGTACCTTGGTATTGCAATTATGATCTTGCAATAAACTCCTTCTGTAGTGTAGCTTACGAATTTCATCACTATGTACTACATAGGTAAGGGCTTTTCTCTAACAGGCGCTAAATTAAATGGCGCTTATCACTAGATTCACATCCTTAAACATTTTTTTCTTCAGGAAACACACTGCCCTTGTTTTGGGCTTCTCAATCAGCTTCTAGTGTATGCACCTGCTTTCTCATCCAAACCACTTTGGAGAGATTCTGATCTCTACAACCTGTATTTGATTGTAAGTTGCTTTCAATCTCTGTACTAAAGCTAATGAAATCGCAAGTAATCCTCTTTCTACTGGAGGACAGCATCAGTCTTTTCTGATGGTTGTATTTTAGATTGTTCCAAATCCTCCATAATCAACTGTTTAAAAAAAAATATTTTAAGCCATGGTATCTTGATCATGGGAATAAAAAACTTTGCTAAGAACCAGCATTTGATTACACCAGTAGTGTTGCCAGCTGCTTGTATCAAAAAAAAAAACAACCACTCCACCCCTGGAGGACTGAGTAAGAAGGGAGAGGGTCAACATGAATCAACAGCAAAAGGCAGACTACAAAAAAAGTTATTAATGCACCTTAACAATATTCCTTGCCAGCAGCATTGGCTGATATAAAAACATTCTTCTTAACTAATCATTAACCTAGTAACCTTGTGAAGCTGACTGAGGAACAGCCTCCATCAGTTTTCAGAAGGTGCCTTGTATCATAGCTCGGTTCTTCCATGAAAAGCTGAATATTCATTATATACAGCACTTTTTTTAAAATAACCTTGACAATTTCATTGCCTTTCCATGCATACCACCATAAACACCTTTGGGAAAGCTAACACTGCTGACAAGTTTGTACCCTTTGTCTTTTCTCCGAAGTCACAGAAAAGGCTGCTTTGAAACACACGTGTTAACAAAACCTATTTTTCTTCCTTGCAGTTGCAGTAACAGGCCTGTATTTAGATACTATAGGTCATCATAAAGCACTGACATTTCACATGCAAGACACATCCCTAAAAACAGTACAAGTCAATATAAGAGCTAGACAGGGACTAACAAAAGGTAAAGCATTTCTGTCAGCACTTGCATGGACAAGTCAAGACCCCCCGAAAGGAACCTCAAAAGACCACAGGAGGTAACTCACATCTCGGAAGGGGAGCCAAGCACTCCTCTCCCCCCCTTCTCCATGTACGTCATTCAGTCCATCCCACCATGACCAGACTTCCCCCTGCCCTGCAAAGTGTTCACCAAACAGTAAATCTTTTCCCATTTTCCCTCTGATAGGAAATGCTGCAGTTCCTCCTTTGAGAAGATTTGTCTCGTGTATATACTGCTGCTTATCTTTACTGTTCTTACCCATGCCACCCCATCACCAACTGTCTCCAGTACGGCCTCCAAACACAGCATTTAATCAAACCACACACATTTACTTCTAAAATCATTTCTTCTGTTATAATGAATCCCTCCCTCTCATTTTTCCCTTTTACTCCTGCAATTTGTCCGATCTTTATAGCAGCACACTACCTAGGATTCCACTTTCAGTCAGTTGCACAGT